AAATTCCAGGAGGCGCCTATGGGTCAGTGAGTAGGGTGCCAGCCCCATATACCAAGTGTGGCAGGTTCAAACCCAGTCCTGGCCAAACTGCAACAAAAAATAGCCAGGCATTGTGGCAGGCACCTGTAGTCCCAGCTACTTGGGAGGCCGAGGCAAGAGAATTGCCTAAGTCTAAGAGCTGGAGGTTGCTGTGAGCTGTGACGCCATGGCACTCTACCAACAATGACAAAGTGAGACTCTATCTCCAAAAAAAAAAAAAATTCCAGATCTCCAAATGAGCACTAGTAATAATTTTTTAGTGACAGGGATGGAAAACATTTTTAATACTTTTCAGCTTCATCTCACTTTAAGTGAATTACCACATCAATATCTATCTATTTTGGCCAGGTAGGGTGGCTCATGTGTATAATTCTAGCACTTGGAGATCAAGGCAGGAGGATCCCTGAGCTCAGGAGTTCAAGATCAGCCTAAGCAAGAAAGATTGGTCTCTACTAAAAATAAGCTAAGCATGGCAGAATATACCTGTAATCAAGGATCACTTGAGCCCAGGAGTGTAAGGTTGCTATGAGCTGGCCTGATACGATGGCACTCTAGCCTGAGACAACAGACTGGAGACTGTCTTAAAAAAAAAAATCCAACCATTTGGGAGCCAATCTAAGCAATGTCACTGATGGCATTTGCTCACTTGTACATGTCTAGTCTATTCTCAGGCCCTGTGAAATTTGCCTTTCAAAACTACTTTCCATCCTTGTTATTGTTTAGGATTGAACAGTTAGAGTACCCCTTTAATTCCTATGCAGTCAACTTTCCCCCTCCCTTAACAATCCATTCTCCACATTGCTACTAGAGCCTCCATTCTAAAATATAATTGTAAACATGCTCTTATTTTGACCTACTCCTCATCTTTTTTCTATGTGATAAAATTCTCATCATTTATAAATACAACACACTGTCTTTATTACTCATCTCTGTTGAGGTCTTTCTGTGTATGGGTTTTTGTTTTAAAAATTTTTCCATGTGAGGGCAGCACCTGTGGCTCAAAGGAGTAGGGCACTAGCTCCATATGCCAGAGATGGCAGTTCAAACCCAACCCCGGCCAAAAACTGCAAAAAAAAAAAAACTTACCATATAGACAGACATGGTGGCTCATCCTAGCACTCTGGAAGGCTAAGGCAAGTGGATTGCTTGGGCTCTGGAGTTGGAGACCAGGCTGAGCCAAGAGCAAGAGAAAACGCTCATCTCTATTAAAAATAGCCAGAAGATGTGGCAGGTATCTGTAGTCCTGGCTTCTCAGAAGGCTGAGGCAAGAGGATCATTTGCGCCCAGGAGTTTGAGGTTGCTGTTAGCTACAATGACTCCATGTAACTCTACTCAGGGCAGTGTAGTGAGACTGTCTCGAACAAAAGAATTTTGCATGGATGACTCATTTAATCCTTAGAAGTACCTAAGGAGATAGCTACTCTTTTCTCCATTTTACTAGTGAGGATAATAAGGCATGAGAGTAACCTGGAAGTTTCGTACTACTGGTTAGTGTAAGATCCAGGATGAGAGTCACTCAAATGTAGTAAGAGATTATATGTCAGGCTCTATACTAAGACTTTGACATCTTTGAATCTCATTATTACTCTGTGGCAGATGATGCTATTTCCATATTACAGATGAGGCTATTTCCTAGTCATCATTCTCCGTCCTCTGCCTATGATACTCTTCTCCCTTGTTAACTACCTTTCCCTGTTTTAAGGCAATAAAGATATTTTAAGTCTTTAAAGTTACAGTATTAGACTTAAGTCTGTATTAAGTCGAATAGCTTGCAAGTTTTATAGTATTTCAGATTTAGGCCTTAGATACATTTAGAATTAATGTATAGTACAAGACTTGGATATAATTCCATTTTTATCCATAGGTGAAAAGATAGTCTCAACACTTAATTTTTGCCTGATCT